TTGACACAATAACAAATAAGCAAGCTTACTTAAGACATCACAATTTTCAAATGTTATAGCCCACGATTTATGTATATTTTGTTGCTTTTGACCCTAATTGAACATATTTCTTATTCGAAATTTCATGTGCATAAAATCCACGATATTTGCTCTTTACATCTATTTCGACCCATTGGCAACGAAACATACATACCTAAAAATTTCGGGACTTGCATGGATTATAACCCACAATTTCAGCCTATATTTGTTAGTTTCAACCCAATGGAAATTAAATTTTTCTTTCATAAAAAATTGTGATTTTTACGAGCTATAACCTACATTTTTCGTCCTACGAGTCAATGGCAAAAAAGTACATGTATTTAAAATTCTTGAATTTCATGCGCTAAAGCCCATGGTTGGTTTCCGTTATTCTATGTTTTGACCCAATAGCAAATGTTTGGCCGTTACCGATCGATCAATCTAATTCATATATTATAACTAACGATTTTGACAGATTATAGCTAACGATTTTGACAATTTTTTATCATCTCATCTCAATGACAAGTAATCGTACACAATACAAAATTCACAACTTTCATGGGATCATCCATAATTTTTGTCAATTTTTATTCGTTTCGACCCAATGGTGATTAAGTTTATTGTAACCCAATGGTGATTCGTTTCAACCCATTACTTTTGTCCAATTACAGTCGTTCAACCAATGACAACCTCTGGTTACAACCCAGGATTTTAGCAATTTTTGTTCATTTCATCCCAATGACAAATTACTATACGTACTTCAAATCAAAATTATTGATTTTGATGGGTTACAATACATGATTTTTATCAAGTTTCGTTCTTTGAAAAAATCACAAATAAGTATGTGTACCTTAAAATTCACGATTTTCGTTAGCTACCCAAGATTTTTTCCATTTTTGTCTGTTTTGAAAAATGTAATTAATTGGGAGTACAATTCAAAATTTGTAATTTACATGGATTATGACCCACGATTTTCTAGAATTATCATTTGTTCCCCCAATGGCAACTAATTACACGAACTTCAAAATTCGCAATTTGCATGGGCTAATAATCCATGATTTTTGTTACTTTCATTATTTTTATCCATGAAAAATAGATATATATATACTTCGAAATTCACGATTTTCATTAAATTCGTCCATTATGAACACGACTTTGTTCATTTCAACCCAATGGCAATAAACAAAGTATATTTCAGAATTTGTGATTTTATGGGCTACAAACCACAATACTTGCTCATTTTCTTTGTTTCGATCTATCGTCAATCAATCATGCATACCATACCAAAAACTCGCGATTTTTATAGGTATAATCCACAATTATTTTTCAATTTTAGAAAATTTCTTTCTTTTATAAAAAAAAGTGGCTTACATAAGTTATATTATCCACGATTTTTATCAATTTTCGTTCTTACTCTCAGTGAAAAATAAGTATGTGTAATTCAAAATTCATGATTTTCATGGCCTAAAGTACATGTTTTAGCCAATTTTTTTCCATTTCAGCACAATAGCCATGAATTATGCAAACTTCAATAATCACAATTTTCAATGGTTATAACCCACAATTTTTGCCCATAATCAGTCGTTTGACCAAATGACAATTAATTGTGTCTACTTCAAATTTCAAGAATGTCATGGGCTAAAGCCCACATTTTTTCACAATTTCATTCTTTTCGACCTAATGGAAATTAAGTAATTGTTTCTTCAAAAGTTGCATTTTCATCAGCTATAAAGCGATTTTTGTTAGTTTTCGTTCTTTGACCCAATGACAAATAAGTATATTAATGATTTTCAAATTTCATAGGTTTTAACCCATGAATTTTGTCCATTTTTATTAGTTTCGACTTAGTGGTAATTAATTTGGCATACGCTTAAAATTTTGCAATTTTCATAGGTTACAACCCACAATTTTTGTGTAGTTTAATTTATTACGACCCAACGGCAACAAATTATGTATCCTTCAAAATTCGTGATTTTTATGAATTATAAGCCAGGAGTTTTGTTAATTTTTGTCCGTTTTGACCCAAATAATAAAATTATTTGTACTTAAAATTTCACAGTTTCCATAGGCATTAGCTCACGATTTACATCAACTCAAAGACAATTAACTAAACATATCTCATATTCGAAGTTTCATGTGCTATAATCCACAACATTTGCTCATGACATCCGATTTGACCCATTGGTAACTAAACACGTGTACAAAAGAATTTGCGATTTTCATGAGTTATAACCCACGATTTTAGTCCATTTTCGCTAATTTCTACCTAGTAGCAATTAAAATTTTCTTTCATTAAAAATTACGATTCTCATGGGCTATAATCCAGGATTTTTGTTCTTCAACCCAATCGCAAAAAAGTATGCATACTTTAAAATTCGTGATTTTTATGTGCTACAATCAATAGTTGTTTTTCTTTTTCGCACTTTTCGAGCTAATAGCAAAATTTGTCCATCATCAATTGTTCAAACCAATAGCAATTAATTATGATTATTCAATTTCACGATTTTAATGGATTATAACTCACAATTTTGACAATTTTCGTTCATTTCATCCTAGTGACAAGTTATTATACATGCTTCCAAATTCCCAACTTTAATATGGTATAAATCATTACTTTTGTCAATTTCAATTCGCTTTGTCCAAAAGACAATTAAGTTCGGGTACTTCAATATTCGCAATTATAATGCATTATAATCCTTGTCCAATATTGATCACTCGACTAAATGGAAATTAATTATCACTTGAACTTCACGATCTTTGATGTGTTATATAACCCATAATTTTGGTAATTTTTGTTAGTTTTGTCCAAATGATACGTAATAATACGTACTTCAAAAGCAACGATTTTTATCTATTTCCGTTCATTTCAACCCAATGGCAATTAACAAAGCATATTTTAAAATTCGCGATTTCATGAGCTATAACTCATGATATTTGTAGGCGTCAAAAAATGCTTACAGACATCCAAACACCACTCAAGATAACATAGAAGAACGTTATACACGTCATCAGGCAGCACTGTGGCGCGGCAGCCCATGGTGCCGCGGCTAAGGCGCGGCAGCCTATGGTACCGCGGCTATAGCGCGGCAACCTATGGTGCCGCGGCTATTATAGGGGAGTGCTGCGGCGGTTACAAGACAGTTGTACGATGATTATTTAAAGCCCACGTGGCAGCATACTAGAGATAGAACGTGTGCTGACGTGGACAAGCAGTTAAACCACGAAAAAGGTGGTTAAAAGTCGTGGGAGGACAGTTTCAAGCACGATGGAACGTGCTGGTAACTGCCCCTGTGGCCGCTGCAGTTCATGCTGCCGCGCCAATAGCCGCTGCAGTCCGGGATGTCGCGGTCAAAGGGATAGTCGTTGATCGGCTATTTCTTCAGTTATTGTCCAAGGAGGCTATAAATACCCCCCTATGGACATCATTGACAAGGGCTGAGCATTTTCCAGAGAGATTAGAGCAGAGAGCCTTGAGTTTTGGTGAATTAGAGCAAGAGAGAGAGTCTTCCTTCTTCACAAACATCCTCAAGAAGCTTCTAGCGAGTCCTAGAGATCTAAGCTCAGACTTGATCTTTGGAAGAGTGAACATCTTACATCGATAAGATATTCGCTTCAAATTCTTACTTCGATAAACGAAGGAAGAATCATTAAACCCCTCACGGTTCAATCAGAATCTGTGATTCGGTGGTCCACGAGTCAAAGCGCTCCCGGCACAGGCAAAGATCCCACGCAAGCAGCGATCCAAACAACGGTCCTGCGTTTGTTTCTCAAGAGTTGTAATTTTCCTTTTGTTGTGTAAAAGAAGTCTTATAAAAAGACTATTTCTTTTGAATTTATTGTAATCGACCGAAGATATAATGAATTCCATGACAAAACCAACTTTTGACGCGAACATGTAGGATATTTGAGAGTCAGCACGGGCTAAGAAAACCGTGATTCTCTAGGCAATTAAACATATGCAGGGGACTAATGACTTGTTGGTACATGGGAACCGAGTCAAGTGAGAATGGAATTAAACAAGCAGTGGAATGGAATTAATATGGGAATGAAATATTCATTTCCATTCTCACATTTGGCTACAATTAGAGAATGAAATGGGAATGAGCAATATTTGGAAGTTAGGTGCTTCTTGATTCTCACTTAAATGGTAACGCACTTTCCCTAACATTTCATTGGGAATGATCATTCCTACATAAAGTGAGAATAGATGAGAAGTGAAAACGAGATTTCTAACTTCCAAAAACATTTTGTGTTTGGAAGGAAGGAATGAGAAGTGGGAATTGGTCCATTCCCACTCATTCACATGTACCAAACAATGTGTAAGAGCAAAGGAACTTTGCTTACTGTTTTGAGGTCGAGTGCCAGAGTACTCCTTGTTTGATAGTACAACAAGCACAAAGCGCATATCAGCTAATCCTTTTAAAGGCATCATTAGTGGCTGTGCATTCAGTTTCTTTAGAGTATTGAATCAGACTGGAAATTTCTGCTAATTTAATGGTTTAGAGGGGAGAACTGTCAGTCCCATCTTTCCAGTTCAGGAACCAACAGTTTTCGCCCTGCTTAGATCTGTCTCTTATCTTGTAAAGTAACATGTTTGAATAAGAAACTCCAGGTCATTCTGTGTAGAAATTAATTGGAAGCTCCAATGTTCCATACTCCAAGCTGACAACGATAAGTTAAAGTTGCCACCAGTATGGCATCATTTAGAGATGTGTGGGTGAGAGCATCTGTCTTGATGGAGGCTTGGGCTCCTCTATACCTGGATTCACTTTGGTGCCGTTGAATCCATAATATAAGAGATTTGACGATAATACAGAACTAACTAAAAGCATTCATCTTGATCTTTGTGAATCGTGGTTTACCTTTTCTCTTAATTGCATTTATCTGGATTCAATTTTTTTCTACATTTGTAACCATATAGTTTGTTTAATTGATAGTGGTTCATTTTGCAAGTAATATCTGGATCTTTGCGTTTTTGAACTTGCACTCTTTTTATCTCTGTTGGCACATTTTCTCCTTTCAGGACCATTCCATTCGCATGGAACCTCGTCACTGCTGGTTATCTTGAACAATCACTTCCAGGGGTATTGTAACTTTCTGTTCTATTATGCACAACAAACTTAATGCATTGTTCATATCTTAATAGATGGAATGCCTTTCTTGTCTTCATTAATTGCAGTTTCCTATAAGTTTTTACCCATTTCTTTCACACCATATTGTTTTTCACTTGGGAAAAGGAAAGAAATCAGAAGACTACATTAAGTAATGGCACTGTTATATATTCAATACTACAGAATTATCAACAACAGGTGATCTTTAATTTAATATTGATGTTTGATACTTGCTCGTTGACATTATCAAATTCTTTTTTTGTCGCTTGGTATCATATAGCTTTTGAGAGGAATTAACGTTGTTATGGTAATTTACCATCTAAAGATAAAAATATCGAAAGATTGACTGCATAGGTCTACAAAGCCATGGTCCAAACCAGCTAAAGAAACTCAGAATCCCAGCCGAGATCAAGTCTATTGACCAGTCAAGCAGACGAGCCCTCTCTCGACCGAGAGTTGTCATAACCGTCTCGAAGCGCGGGACCAGTCGCCCCCCCGCAATTAAGACGACTTCCCGAGCAGACGTCTCGATGGTGCTCTCGTCCCAAAACTCACTCGGTTGTCGGTCGGCAAATCATAATGATGACTCACGGATCAACCCGCCTCGACTAAAGAGATAAGATCTGACCAAGTTCACTTCAAATATCACTCGACGCTACAGCATTGACCAGTCCCATCAAGATCTACGCTCTGACAAGGATTCCCTACATAAGCCGTTTATTCTACTCACAAGTCGCATCCCAGAGATCGTCATGATGCTCTCCTAGTCTTGAATAACTTCCCCTCCACTTACTAGGCGCCATCTGGAGAAGGAAGAACGACTAAGTAGCTAGTCTATCCACTATCACGCCTCACCTGTCAGGTCCAGGACACTGAGAAGACGTTTCTCCCCTAACACTAAGTGACTTCCCTTCCAGTCGCATGCCGACACCTGGAAGGGAAAAAATGACTCAACAGCCTGCCTGTTCACCTTTCAAATCGCCTCTTTTGCGTAGTCAACAAAAGCCGAGGGTCAAACTCCTAGAGGCGGGGGGCTATAAAGGGAGGTAAGGAAGGTAAGAAAAGAAAAAGAGGGGAGGGGGATCTCTGCTTATTCTTACACACGAACTTGATTTCCAGTTCTTAATAATCCGCCAACCCTAAAAAAGAAACACACTGTTAGGACCTCTCAATGGCCCGGGGACCTCTCAAAAAACCCTCCTCAAGTTCACAAACTAACTTGACCGTCGGAGGTACCACGGTTGGAACTAGTCTCGTATTCCTGCGATTCTTGCATGTGCAGGCCATCAGTACACCCCGCGCGTTCAGGATCGGACATAAAGTCGGAGGAGGAATCGGTCCCAACATTCATCCTCTCCTTCTTCCCTACCATCGTCAGGATCAAAATTGAATCTGACTGCGGGAAACCCCCATCGACTGTTTGTTCACGAGCATCAACAGTTTGGCGCCCATCGTGGGGCTTACTTTATTCTCTGAGAAGAAATACCCAATTCTAAGTCAGGGCCTGATGTTTTTCGTCCTTGAAGAGCACTGGAATTACACCATTCAAGCTAAACAAAGCCTGGAATCGCATCATTCAAGCTAAGGAGGATTAGCCTATGGTTATGAGGAGCCAATGTGGGTGTAGCCCTTGGAGGCAGCAACTTTGGGGGGGGTATTTGCTAAGTAGAACCTCGAAAGCTCTCCTAAGAAAAGACATACCACTATGATGCTTGTCTGGCTTGAGAATGAAGCACAGGTTTCTAATCGCTGTCACAGATGAAAAACCCCATTGTCGGGACAGTCAAGAGGTCTGGGGTTGGATCGCAAACGGAACCACCAGGGATAATGATCAGATCCAGTATCGCTCAAGTTCTTGTCGGTAATAGCTCCCCCGAACAAGGAGTAGCGATCAAGTCTGTGGCAGGCTCCTCGGACCATCACCACCTCCAAAGGAGAGTCATTCCTCACCAAGAATGAGATTGCAGGGAACACTCAAGGGCTCGCCATCTGGTCTTCTCAGGAAGATTAATAACCCTGACACCTTAGCAAATGCTCAGAACCGCCAGAATCGAAGTAACACCTGGTGGTTGAAGCATGTGACTTGTACTCCCCCTGCAAGAAGGCTTCTTCGTTTATAGGAAGGTCCGGCCATCGTTATCCCTGGAAACCCTAAGGGGAAGGCATGATCCCATCAAATTCTAGGGAACAAAACCTCGACGTATGGGGTTCTCACCAACAAGAAACCCCCATCACAAAAGTTGCTTAAACCTCCTCCATCGAGCAACATCTTCCAAAAGCTCAAACAACAGAATATCGGGCCTAACAGAGCAACCGACGGTGGACAAACAAGATCTGTTGAAAATTATCATGTCCATCATCGACGTGCAAGGACCTCAACAAAAACTCTTAAGTTCAGAAAGGTCCTTGGCTGATAAAATGACAAATATGTCGACGACTTAACGACATCTGAAGCCAAACAGCTCACCATCGAGAGAAAGAGCAACCCCCGATTCCGGGTGTACCTCAGTTCGGCAACAAAGATGGCCGATGAAGCAACAACTCGCTCTCATCAAAACTGGAATGATCACCGGCGAAAAGAAACAGCCAAGCAAGCTCCGTCTCGGGGACCTTGTCTCCAGCCAAGAAGCCGTCTTCAAAACACATGTGGACGAGAAACACGAATTCGGCATTGCCCGATGGAATAAATGTGAATGAGTTGTACTCTCATGTATAAATTTCAAAACAATCAATGAAAATGATTGCCCGATGGAATAAATGTGAATGAGTTGTACTCTCATGTATAAATTTCAAAACAATCAATGAAAATGTCAAATGAAAAGAAAGACATCAAAAGACCTGTACTCTCATGTATAAATTTCAAAACAATCAATGAAAATGTCAAATGAAAAGAAAGACATCAAAAGACCCGATCGTCTGGGCAAACGATTTCTCAGTCGGTATCAAGATCTTGGTACCTAATCTGGGTAAAACCAAGGCAAAATGACTCCTTAGTCGGTTACAAGATCCTGTTGCCGTCTCAGGACAGGCCCTTGGCGCAATGACCCCTCAGTCAGGCCCTGGCGTCACCTCGGGATAGGTCCAAGGTAAAACAACTTCTCAGTCGGTATCAAGACCTTGGTACCTATTCTGGATAAAACCAAGGTAAAACGACTCCTCAGTCGGTCACAAGATCCTGGTGCCGCCTCAGGATAGGCCCACGGCGCAATGACCCATCAGTCAGGCTCTGGCGCTACCTCGGGATAGGCCTAAGGCAAAACGACTTCTCAGTCGGTATCAAGACCTTGGTACCTAATCTGGGTAAAACCAAGGTAAAACGACTCCTCAGTCGATCACAAGACCCTGGTGCCGTCTTAGGATAGGCCCATGGCGTAATGACCCCTCAGTCAGGCCCTGGCGTCACCTCGGGATAGGCCCAAGGCAAAACGATTTCTTAGTCAGTATCAAGATCTTGGTACCTCCTCAGGGTAAAACCAAGGCAAAACGATTTCTCAGTCGGAACAAAGACATTGGCTCTTCTTAAAGGTAAGCCTAAGGCACAACATATGGTTCGATTCTTTCTGCTCTCATCGTCCATAGTGGTTAAGACCTTGGTACCTAATCTGGGTAAAACTAATGCAAAACGACTTCTCAGTCGGAATAAAGCCATTGATTCTTCCTAAAAGATAAGTCCAAGGCAAAAACAACTTCTCAGTCGGTATCAAGACCTTGGTACCTAATCTGGGTAAAACCAAGGTAAAACTACTTCTCAGTCGGAATAAAGACCTTGGTACCTAATCTGAATAAAACCAAGGCACGATTTCTCAGTCGGAACAAAGCCATTGGCTCTTCCTAAAAGATAAGTCCAAGAAAAAAATGACTTCTCAGTCGGTATCAAGACATTGGTACCTAATCTGGATAAAACCAAGGCACAACGACTTCTCAATCGGGATAAAGCCCTTGGCTCTTTCTAATCTGGATAAAACCAAGGCAAAACAACTTCTCAGTCAGAACAAAGTCCTTAGCTCTTCATTTAAGAACTAAACAAGGCACAACGACTTCTTAGTCTGTTCCAAAACCACTGATTCCGTATCAAAAGTAGCCCAAGGTACAAAGACTCCTCAAGTCGACGCTACATCTATGGTTCTCTCCCTAGATGAACCCAAGACAAGCCCCAAGGGACCGACATTATTCTGGGAAAAAAAGCAGAGTTTCAACATGTTCAAATCATTTCAACAACTCTCAAGCAAAAGACAGGAGAAATCACTCTCTCATTCAAAAATGAGTCTTGTACCATCTCTTTTTTTTTACAAAAAAAGGGCCCAACAGAGCTTGCAAAAAAAAATAAAATAAAATAAAGAAAGAGGGGGAGGGGGTTCTTAATGCTCTTTCCTAAGGCTGATGGTCATCACCCTCAGAATCCCTCTTCATTTTCTTCAAAGGCCTTCTGGAAGAACTCGGCTCCTCCGAGTCAGCACCTCTTTTACAGACCTCTATTGGTGGAGGAAGGACTGTCGCTTCGGAGCCGGAGGAGGATGAGGAGGACCTTCCCATCTCTGGGAATTCTTCTTCGTTCAAAGCTCTGGACTCTTGAAGACCGAGAAGACCTCGAAGCTTCTCGAGATCTTTGGCCTCCGGGTCACTAAGAGCCCTTAGCGCAAGTACATTCTCCTGCACCTCGGGCCAACCCGAGCAAGACAATATATTGTCGGCGCCGAACACCCAGACGAAGAGCCTCTTCCATTATTCGTTTAGCTCTGGGAGGTCGACATCCAAGCAGAAATCGCCTCGATAGAGAAGAAATAGTGGGGGTCCCCCTCAGCGGATCCCACGCTGACCACGTGTCCTAACAAGCTATATTAGGCACCACATCTGCCTCGGAGCAGACGTCTATAAACGCCATCAAAGTGCAGATGGCGTGCGGGTGGAATTGACAGGGGGAAACCCCAAGAGCCGTAAAAACCTTCCTAACGAAGGGATGCAGTGATAGACGCGGGTCACACTGCAGATGCGCCAGATAAAGAGGCACTCGGTCCTCGCCATGCATATGTACCGGAGTGAAGCTATCCGGTACAACAGAGCTTGCAAAAAAAAAAAAAAGAAAGAAAAGAAGGGGGGGGGGGGGACGACATCTATTCTTAATGCTCTTTCTTAAGGCTGATGGTCATCACCCTCAGAATCCCTCTTCATTTTCTTCAAAGGCCTTCTGGAAGAACTCGGCTCCTCCGAGTCAGCACCTCTTTTACAGACCTCCATTGGTGGAGGAAGGACTGTCGCTTCGGAGCCGGAGGAGGATGAGGAGGACCTTCCCATCTCTGAGAATTCTTCTTCGTTCAAAGCTCTAGACTCTTGAAGACCGAGAAGACCTCGAAGCTTCTCGAGATCTTTGGCATCCGGGTCACTAAGAGCCCTTAGCGCAAGTACATTCTCCTGCACCTCGGGCCAACCCGAGCAAGACAATATATTGTTGGCGCCGAACACCCAGACGAAGAGCCTCTTCCATTATCCGTTTAGCTCTGGGAGGTCGACATCCAAGCAGAAATCGCCTCGATAGAGAAGAAATAGTGGGGGTCCTCCTCAGCGGATCCCACGCTGACCACGTGTCCTAACAAGCTATATTAGGCACCACATCTGCCTCGGAGCAGACGTCTATAAACGCCATCAAAGTGCAGATGGCGTGCGGGTGGAATTGGCAGGGGGAAACCCCAAGAGCCGTAAAAACCTTCCTAACGAAGGGATGCAGTAGCAGACGCGGGTCACACTGCAGATGCGCCAGATAAAGAGGCACTCGGTCCTCGCCATGCATATGTACCGGAGTGAAGCTATCCGGTGCCCCTATGGTCATTACACGAGACATGCCGTACCTATCGCGCAACCATGTCTCGTTATCCACAGACATTCTTGACCGAGATAAGTACAGAACCCTAAGCTTCCTCTCACGGTCATCCTGGGGAAAAGCCATGTGTAAAATTCCTAAGGAGACGGGGATCCAACAAGAAGAAGAATGTTCCCGATGAAGAATGTACTCCTAAAGCTGTGTCAGGGATTATTTATATGTCTCTGAAGAAGCATGCAGAACTCAAGAGGCATATCTTGAAGCCACCAAAAAAGATTAAAGATCCGTTTTGAGAAACGGAAACGACTCGTTGGGAATATCAACCGCCCCGCATAACTACCGCCCATTTTGACCACGACGCCTCGTTCCCCCACGTAGCGGTTTCCAATATCGACAACATTATTTCGAAGGGGAACCGACGGCTAGCAAGCCCAATACTATCTCTCCAGCCACGACTGACTGGCCAAAGATCCTTGGCATCAGAAGCCGAATCATACCTATTTCACTCGGACCCGACCAAAGTCAGCTCCGAATAAAATGGGCCAACTGTTATGGTAATTTATCATCTAAAGATAAAAATATCAAAAGATTGACTGCATAAGTCTACAAAGCCATGGTCCAAACTAGCTCAAGAAACTCAGAAGCCCAGCCGAGGTCAAGTCTATTGACCAGTCAAGCAGACGAGCCCTCTCTCGACCGAGAGTCGTCATAATCGACTCGAAGCGCAGGAGCAGTCGGCCCCCAGCGATTAAGACGACTCCCCGAGCAGACGTCTCGATGGTGCTCTCGTCCCAAAATCCACTCGGTTGTCGGCAAATCATAATGATGACTCACGGATCAACCCGCCTCGACTAAAGAGATAAGATCTGACCAAGTTCATTTCAAATATCACTCGACGCTACAGCATTGACCAGTCCCATCAAGATCTACGCTCTGACAAGAATTCCCTACATAAGCCGCTTATTCTACTCACAAGTCGCATTCCAGAGATCGCTATGATGCTCTCCTAGCCTCGAATAACTTCCCCTCCACTTACCAGCCATCATCTGGAGAAGGAAGAACGACCAAGTAGCTAGTCTATCCACTGTCACGCCTCACCTGTCAGGTCCAGGACACTGAGAAGACGTTTCTCCCCTGACACTGAGTGACTTCCCTTCTAGTCGCCTGCCGACACCTAAAAGAAGAAAGATGACTCAACAACCTGCATGTTCACCTTTCAAATCGCCTCCTGTGCGTAGTCAAAAAGCCGAGGGTTAAACTCCCAGAGGCGGGGGGCTATAAAGGGAGGTAAGGAAGGTAAGAAAAGAAAAAGAGGGGAGGGGGATCTCTGCTCAGAGGCGGGGGGCTATAAAGGGAGGTAAGGAAGGTAAGAAAAGAAAAAGAGGGGAGGGGGATCTCTGCTTATTCTTACACACGAACTTGATTTCCAAAGGAAGGTAAGAAAAGAAAAAGAGGGGAGGGGGATCTCTGCTTATTCTTACACACGAACTTGATTTCCACTTCTTAATAATCCGCCAACCCTAAAAGAGAAACGTCTTGCTAGGACCTCAATGGCCCAGGGACGTCTCAAAAAATCCTCTTCAAGTTCACCGACTTGACCGTCGAAGGTACCATGGGGGAAACTAGCCTCGTATTCCTGCGATTCTTGCATGTGCAGGCCATCAGTACGCCCCGCGCGCTCAGGATCGGGCATAAAGTCGGAGGAGGAGTCGGCCCCAACATTCATCCTCTCCTTCTTCCCCACCGTCGACAGGATCGATCTGCATCCGACTGCGGGAACCCCCATTGACTGTTTGTTCACGAGCATCAACAAACGTTGTTCCAAAATAAACTATCTTGTGTCTGCCTGTCTGGATATTATCACAATGGCAAAGCCATCATTTCTTAGTATTGTGGTCACCCTGAAATTAACCTGTGCCCGTCTTTCATAGTATGCTTCTTCAGGTACTCAAAAGGGAATATGCAGCTATGCCGCTATTTTAGCTACTTTCTGCCATTTTCATCTCTTTTCGTAATCCAAACATTCCTCTTTGTAGAAAATCTCTTCTTGATATGGGTATAGTGGCTGTGGCAGACATTCATGAATACAGCTGGGAGTCAGACAACCTTTTCTCTTAAATTATTTTAATATATGATGCAATTTTATTCTTTTGGACATTTCCTTTGTTTTATATATATATACATACATAAACTGAGGCCTTCCATCTTCTTCATATATTGTTCGTATGGACTGACATTTTTATTTCCTGACGCAGGTAGCCATAAGCACGGTTGGTCTTCTTTTCTTTGGGAGGTTGTTAGAGCCGTTATGGGGGCCGAGGGAATTCCTGAAGTTTATCATTGTGGTGAATTTTTTAACCTCAATCTGTGTTTTTGCAACCGCTATTGGACTATACTACATCACAAGACAGGAAAGTTACCTGTGAGTAATCTGATTGCTAAAATTTAAATTTATGTGTAATATACATATGCAGATCTATATATTGCTTCTAACCTGGTTTTATCCACTTTACCCATTTCTTATCCAGCTTAAAGCATCAATCTCTTTTGTAAATAATTATAGTTATTGGAACCCTTAAAGGAAAATAGGTTACTGTGTGATCAAAAGGAGAAAAGGAATTGGAAGAGAGGGGAAGGAAGCAGAGAGATGGAGCGAGGGAGAGTGAGAGAGCTGGGTTGCAAGGTCATCTTACTTCATAGTGATGTACCATAATCTTGTTTATGCTTAAATCAATATCGATTTCTAGAAGTTCTAGCACACAATTTCATTTGAATTCGCAAATCATAAAATCGTTGATTTTAGTGTTTGAACATATTGGCAAGTCTGCTGTATGTTTAATGCTAAAAGTGTCAGGCCTTATTAGCTTTCTTGGAATTAGATTTAAAGAATACAATGTTGGAGGTGTAGTCTTGCATGGTAAATCGTCTGAAATAACATGGTTTAGTAAATCTGCTACCTCAATTTAGACATTTTGAAATTAGTCAGAGCTTATGTCAGGTTGCTTGTCAGAGTGAGAGAGCTGGGTTGCAAGGTCATCTTACTTCATAGTGATGTACCATAATCTTGTTTATGCTTAAATCAATATTGATTTCTAGAAGTTCTAGCACACAATTTCATTTGAATTCGCAAATCATTAAATCGTTGTTTTTAGGGTTTGAACATATTGGCAAGTCTGCTGTATGTTTAACGCTAAAAGTCTCAGGCCTTATTAGCTTTCTTGGAATTAGATTTAAAGAATACAATGTTGGAGGTGTAGTCTTGCATGGTAAATCGTCTGAAATAACATGGTTTAGTAAATCTGCTACCTCAATTTAGACATTTTGAAATTAGTCAGAGCTTAGGTCAGGTTGCTTGTTAGTGAGGTTGCAAGTAGAATTGAGTTCAATTTGGACCCATATATTTTGCATTGGTGTCCAGGAAGGCCCATACCCATAATCCCTGGAACTGGACCATCATATCTAGGTGACCTACATGCTTCTATATAAATTATGCAGAACAAACCAAAATTTCTAACCTTTATTAATTTTTCTTACATGCCAGTATAGAGGTCATGCCTTAACAGGTAAGGTGCACCCACGCCAGGACTCAAATCAGATATCTTAGTTCTAGAGTTTTGACCTGTACGTGAACCAAGTCAATGGTGCACTCCAGCTATGAAGCACGGACACGCATAACATGAAGCCGTGTCGTGTCGTGTCCGTGTCGGACACACGTGTCGAACACATGTATCCTATGTATTTTTTAGGATTTGCCTCGTGTCGGCGTGTCGGATGGCCGTGTCGGATCCGTGTCCGTGCTACATAGCACTCCAGGAAGAGAAATTGGCCAAGAGAGAAACAATGCCTTGACCTTAGACCTTATCTCACAATTCGAGTAAATTTCATCTTTATTGTTACAAAAAGGGTTTTGAAATACCTATCTCTAACAGCATGCATTCCTTTACTGATATTTGTCTACATATAGTACTTTCTAGGAGGCATATGAAGTATGTATGATCTACAGATGGATCATGTCTGTTCAATTCTAACTTCCTCATTACCTATGTGGACACTACATGCAGCTCTCATCTATTGCGAGCTATTCGAAACCAGACTTCTCCCATCATATTGTATTGATTTATATACGTGCACATTGTCTTAACGCTGTTGGTACTGACTCTTTTTATTCCACAAATGCTCGACAGCTATACACCTCTTTCTGGCTTCCACGGTGTCCTTTCAGGGTTCCTGGTGGGCATTAAGCAAATTACACCAGATGATGAGCTGAGTATATTGAAGATTAAACTAAAGGTATTTTTGGGTAACTAACTTTCTTTTGCGCGTGGATAGATTTATAGTTATTGGAGGGAAAGATACTGATGCTTTATTTTTGTCTTTCCTGATCTTTGTAGTGGTTGCCAACTCTTTTTGTCTTGGTGTCGGTTGCAATTAGTTTCTTCTTGGAGGGGTCTTCATCTTACATTCCAACAATTATATTTGGTATTTATATGAGTTGGATATACTTGCGCTACTTCCAAAGGAAGCCAGAAACAGGACTCAAGGGAGATCCAAGTGATGAGTTTTCCTTCTCCAGTTTCTTCCCTGAATTCCTGAGGTCATTTTTACCCTTCTAAAGAACATTCAATTCTATTTGCCTCCTGGGTGCTGATTATCCGACTTGTTTGTATCTTACAGACCAATTCTGGATCCAATTGCTTCAGTTTTTGATCGGGCAATTTGTGGAAGGTCGGTATCTGCAGGAGGATCAGGAGATAATGCACTGGACGAAACCCATTTGCCTGGTTCAGATCCTATTGAAGCCTTGAGAAGAAGGTAAGTTTTTATTCACAGTTTGATATTCCCATCTGTCTTGAACACCGTCTTGAGCCTCCATATTTTGGAGTGTCATGTTATTTATTTCCATTGATTAGTAGTGAGGAATAAGCAGAATAGATTGATTAATGATGGCTGGGGTTTGGGGTTTGGTTTCAGTTTTAGATTAGAAAAAGGGCGCGCAAGGAATATGAGACAAGGGTCTTGGGCTGATTTTCACACAAAGGAAATAATTCCATAAAATCCAACTTTATAGAATTCTCAACTCCAGTTAATCTAATCTAACAAAGGAGAAGTATGTGTACGCCCAAAGGACTAGTGGTGGAGCCAGAAATTCATAATCGTGGCGTCATGATATATAATTAGGGAGTTTAATGAGATGCAAAATATATTGAACTAGACATAATTAGGATGGAGCCCTATGCAAAATAGCCTCATTCAAATTTCCACTACATTCATCGTGTAAACTTATGTATTTTTTTCCCCTTTTTCAAACTTGAGCGTAGCTCTTTGATATCTGGTGAATTGGGCCATTTTAGTTAATGGGTCATGGGTCACTTTATTTTTAGTTTTGGCCGATTAAAAGTTAGTGAGTCACTAGTAAGTACTGACATGATTTAAGATGCCGCTTTGCTTCGAAGTTCACACATGCTTCAATATTGTATGATTTAGGGTGGTGGCACTTGACACCACCCTCTATATACTTGATCCGCCCCTGCAAAGGACATTCACTGAAGCAGATTCTAACTCAAACTAAACTCAATTTTGAACAAATTTTCTCCATATCCTAAATAAATTAGGATTGAAAGAACAAACTAGAAGTATCTACATAAAGCAAATTAAATGCTCAATTAGTATTTCTTCAGATGCCAATCAAACTACAGTTTCTTCAATCCTGACCAAATTAGGATTTCTCCCACCAAATCCTTTGAAATTGTTTTACTTCAAATTCTTTCACTTTCATATTGGACGCAAGTCTACATCAAAATTTTCCTAAGTGGACAAAAAGTAACCCTGAATTTGTAATGGTTAATGATTGATTGATGAAGGCAATGAGAAGTTGAGGTCACAAGACCAGTGTGAAGAAGACATGATGTAAACACAAAACATTAGTCTCTGTTTATGACGATTCTCGAGGAGTCACAAAATCAATATAGCAGGAACCATGAGAAAATTATCTCCAATCTTTAATGTGGATGTTGTTGGAATCAAATTAGGGTGTGGAAACACAAAACATTAGTCTCTGTTTATGACGATTCTCGAGGAGTCACAAAATCAATATAGCAGGAACCATGAGAAAATTATCTCCAATCTTTAATGTGGATGTTGTTGGAATCAAATTAGGGTGTGGAAACATAATTTGACCTGCTATCATGAATTCATTATGGATGTGAAGTTCAAAATATTATAGGATTGTCAATGTGCGGTAACTTTTCAGACACTTAAGACTTATTGTCGGAAATATCATTTTCTAAAGATCTGCTATCAGGAATTGAAACTTCATCAAAGCCTTGATAAAACTCAATGTTATTCAAGATTGAGTTCTCCTGGTAATAGTTGCGTCATTGATGACTTTGTTAACCACCTTCTCCCATAAGTTGCATGCAACTAGTAGAAAATATCACTGTGCTCTCTCGTAATACAAAAGAATTAAGAAAGACACCACTATTTGATAGCCAAGTTCTATGTGTTTTTCCTCCTTGTTTTATCAGTGCACCTCGTTGCTTTTTTTTAATAACATTATCTTGTATTAATTCTCAAGATTTTGTGTAGCTAGGGAGATTGCATCTTTCCATAGGTTGAAGGCAATCTTTCCATAGGTTGAAGGCCTTGTTTTTAGCTACGTTTTCATCTATTCCCAAAATATGTTCTGGGAAATTTATTTTTCCTGAGTTCCTTCATTATACTCGGTCCAACTTTCCCAGTCCTCTTGTATAATTTCTACACTGTATGGGACTCGAGCATTGCTAAAATTTGTTGCATTAATCAATGCAGAATTGTGTAGCATGCTGAATATTCCATGGCCAACATCATGCCATGGAGCTCCCTTCTTTCCATTAATTTATCCATGCGTTTTTCATATCTTTACATGGTAACTTCCTCAAATGTTATGTAGCATGTATCACTTTAGAAGGTGAATGTTCTAGGCATTACTTAGACATGTTCTGCTAGTCATTGATGTCTTGGCTGCAGAGAGCGAGGAGCAAGGGCACTAGAACAGAGGTTGGCAGCTGAGAAACTGTCTTCTACTGGGAGTGCAGAAGGATCTCAACTCGGAGATGCAGCTGAAAATGTTTGAAAGCCCTATTGAAAATTTTCATTGCTAAACAAATTTCAACACTAGGAGGTTGAGCTTTTGTTTTTTGAATTGTGCAGTTGCTCGAGATATATATTTAGTAGTAATAGTTACTCTACTTGCTGTCTTCCCCATATTTCTTTCTTTTCCCCCCCAGTGTGGCGCTACTTAAAGTATACAGGACATTTTTTTAAGTGAGCAGTATGTTTCATATATTACTCTTCTATCTTATAACGAACGTAGCCTGAGAAACCAGATCTGGGTTCACCTCTTCCCACATTCCCTCAAGATTTCAATTCTGCTTTCCATTAAGAATGTTAGTTGTGACTCATGGCTGTAACGGTTGTAAATATCAAGCTAGGAATGAAAGGGAAATTCATCTGATGTACCTGAATGTTTAGTAAATATTGATAATATAGCAGGCGGCATATGGTGAATACAGTGGTATTTGGATATTGACTAATCTCACTCCTTCAGGGAATGATGATTACACCAGTATATATTCGTACCGTTGGTTCAGGTCCTTAAACCGTCGTGGGTTCAGATACGGACCCAAACCTTATAAAGGGGAGTAAACTAGTATATAGTCACTACCTGAGCTATTGCTGCTATTCAGAGTCACAATGGAGTTCGACCCCTTCAAAGGGGAATGGTGATTGGAAATTTGGAGTAGGCGAATTCATTACTCCATCGCTGAAGAATGTGTGCAGCCGGGTTCCTAATGCAATCTAGATGGATGCTGGCGGGCTGTGCCGACATTCTTGTTTCCCTCTACGAATTGGATTGCATCTTTCTATCTCAACTGCTCACTATTTTTGACAATGGCCGTGATTCTTTTCAAGTTTAAGAGAGGAATAAATACAATCCACAAGGAAGTGAGGGAAACACGCGCAATGGCGCGAGAGCCAGTACAAACGAGAAAAATTTCCATGCATCTTTTATTATTTCAGAACCACACTGTCATTCTACATTACATATTCCCTCTCCTCTTTTTGTGTGTATACACCTCTTCCATCCGGGGAATGCTTTGCTTCAACCGGAGTCGTCATATCAGAAGCATCAATAAATGATCATGAGCATACAGCTTCTACTGCAAGGCTCTTTGTAACACCCCTGCACGGATCTCCCAACATTTTGGTAGACACTGGAACACTGCAACTTTCTGACCCGATGCATGCCTACATAGCGTTTTTTTTACAGTTGGAATCAGAAACCATAAGTTTTAGACTTGTCAGAGAGAACCGAGAAGGGAAATTACCTCTTGCACTACTGAGAGCACACCGTCACTGCTGCATTTCCCATGGTTGAAACTTCCGCAGCTACCATGTGGGGTCCCGAAGCTCGCAAACTTAACAGAAGTGATGATTTGGTTAGGGTATGGACACTCTAGATGAACCCTGGCTCCAGATTTTCCTCTTGATAGCTTCCCTGAAGAGACCCAGGAATCTATAGGTGCTGGATGCAATTCCGACACGTGTGCACATAAGCTCCCGATCTGTTTAGTAGCTACAGATATTTGTGCCGGATCTCCGCCCATCTCCTCAAATAGCACCAGCGTGTTACTGCTTGAGTCGATAAATGATCGTGGAATGTGATACCTGTTTGCATATATAAGAGAGAAGTTAGATTGAGTGAAGAAGTTGGATCACAGACATGTAAAAATGAAAAGAAGAGCGATTGTTACAGTTGTTGAGATGGCTTTCCACAGTTCTTGAAGCATTTACTTGAGCTGTAAGCTCCTCTGTAGTTACATGAAGTAGCACAGCCATTCTGTGGGGAAATATTCGTAGGCCAATAGCGGCCGATGCTCTGGCCATTCACCCAAGCCTCACCCTTGCCCATTCCTGTGAAGTCGATTGCAATTGGATCGTTTCCATCAGGGGCATCAAAAGTAGTCTGCGATGAACGTAGGAGATGATTTTTCAAATGGTATACCCAGAATTATCAATTTCTTTTAGCAGATTTATGCTCCATAAACACCCTCCAAAATCGATCTCACTAAGAAGCATAAAAAAGCGCACACGCTGAACAAATACCTTGTACCATATCAGAGGTTGATTCGTTGGCAGGGTAGAATCTGAGGTCCATTCTGAAGAATCTGCAGATTTTCCATACAAGCCTGATTCTTCACCTTTTAGTCCGACCTGAACATGCGAAAAAGATGAAGATGAGAGCGGAATAATGTAAATAAGAAGCTGGAAACCAATATATTCTTTAATAAAATAGCAAAACCTGGTAGGTCCACTGTTGAGAAGACAGATCTACGCTCCCATTTTGGCCCTTCAGCTTCACTGGACCAGTGATTCCGGCACCCACTAAGTCATAAAATGCACCATAGTTCTGTACACAACCAAATTCAGCAACATATGCAGTTTAGTGAAAAATCTATTCCACTACATTATCAGCAGAACCCAGAACTAAGAGAACCTTTTAAGAACTACAAAAGCATAGACGAAATAAAGTTTTTACTGCTGTACACGTGTACATATTTCAGAAACTTACGATATTATTTCTCTGAAAGAAAAGAAAAGAAAAAGAATCAGAAAACCAAATTGCGGATAAGAATAACCTGCAGGCCCACAGTTGCACTCAGAAGATCGATCTTGTTGCTTCCTGGTGCTAGCGTGATAGGCTTCTCAAACGAAATCTTCGGATTACTGCTACTCCCTACGCCACTTCCTGTATAATTAATGACAGCAAAATTGAGTACCGGGAACCAGAAGCTCGTTCAAGTTACAAATGTTTGTTTATAATCCACAGTGTTAGTGGAAGGCAGCATGTTCCTGTACTTCACCTGCAATCTTCCCATTTATGAAGGCGTGTAGGATATGGCCAAGAGATTCTACATGAAGGTTAGACTGAGTCCCATTTAGAAGAAATGGTTCGTCACCATTGATATTGATGCTGCAAGATTCAATGAAAGAGCAACAGTTGTCAATACAAATTGAGAGTATGCTAAAAAACCGAGAATCAGAAACGAATCGATGGTACAAACCTTGTTGAATACCATAGGTAATCGCTAGCGTCAGCAGTAGTATTTATCTGCTCCAGTAAACCGCTTTTGGTGAAGGCATTGTTCTTTGAAATACCCACAGGTTCATTAACAAAACTCCAACTTGACTGGAACCTTTTAGAGGATTCATCACTGGTTTCATCATTTTTCCGATATTTTTCCTCCAAACGAGTAGCTTGAGAATTAATCTAGCAAGGAAATTTGCATTGTACTGTGATCAGAGTTCTGGAAGAGAGAATAAAATTTCTGTCGTTAAAGCATATCTAATTTGGGAAATTAAACTGAACATTCCCTTTATGGTAAATATTTCACAGCCATTTCATGGAAAAAGATGAATGCGGGTTGAATACGTTGACAGTTTCCAAGCCAACCAGAGCCAAGAATCACGCTGACAAGGTTAGAAATAATGTTGCATATACAACCCTATGTTTGAGTCTTAACTACCTAGATATTTCAGAGATCACATGTGTTGTACCCATTTCCACTTGTCAGGCTAAATTTTTTTGAATTCTCCGAAGCAATAGAATAGGGGTGTCAAATGGAGACAGTCATGCAAATTGAAGTAATGTAAACATCAAAGTATCTTGTTGACACCAGGCAAAGCTAATATGCCAATTTATCAGATATCAGTTTTCCTCATGCCACTTCACTGAGCAAAGTAAAACTATTGTTGCAAAAAAGGCTGACAGATTTATCATAAGTTTGCATCGGGATATACCTGGGCAGTGTTGAAAACGACAGTTTTACAGTCAGGAAGGATGCTGACAGACCATGCTGGTAGATGATATGATTTGCCGTTGAATGTAACAGATGCATCAGACGTTCCAATGTTGGCAAGGAATGCAGCACAAGAAGCCGATCCTGTCTTATACACATGAGACTGAACAAGAAGAAAAAAGAAATGAAAAGGGAAAAGAACGTCAGAAGATCTGGAAAAAATTATCTTTGGACATGTTGCATGTTATGGTTGCAGACTGCAGACTCTTGATCAGGATCCTAATCAAGTGATGGGCAATCAAATTGCTTGAATGCTATTTAGGACAGACAAATGTAGATGTTTAGCCTAACCACTGAACTTCAAATGACTTGCTTACTCAAGTGCAGACACGGATACGGCTCCCAAAACACTGTGTCCGTGTTACCTAGCTGCAGGCTCCTGTTTAGGATCCTAATCAAATGAGGGGCAGTCAAATTATTCGAATGCTATATTTGGGATACATAAAAGTGGATGATTAGCCTAACTACTGAACTTCAAATGACATCCTTACTCCAGTTTACCTCATTTAATTATATATTGTATAACTAATCATGCACAAGTAGACTAAGCTCTGAAGGATCATTTTGTTCAAAGATACCACTATCATCAAACTTGATGGCAACCAAATAATTTCCTAATCATCACTGGAAAAATAGGATTTCAGCTATCGGAGTAGACTTTCCCCCATCAGAAACTTAAATAAACTTGTCTACGTACAAAGTAGGTAAAATGTAGATTACATTATTGAACATACCTCCAAATTTGTGCCAAGAGAAGTATACGTTGGATCAGTCGCTACCAAAGCGTCTTCACAGAGCTTTATGGCTTTATGCAGATCTTTCAAGTGACCCCACTTTGGTTGCCTAACCATGCCTAGCGTGTAGATGGGAGAAGACAACAAAGTTACCCCAAGATTTTCACATATATTACATAGCTTACTGCAACCAAATTTGTATTCTTAAAACTTAACACCTCCCTCCCTCCTTCGCTTTCGCGAGGCCTTTGGGGGGAGAGGCACGTGGGTATCGGCTTGGGTATGTTTGGTGGTGGTGGATGCTAAACATTTTCTCAAGATGTCTCAGAATCTTATGAAATTGGAATAGTCGCTGATGGGAGCTCACCATATTCATCAATAGGAGCATCATAATCATAACTCGTCGAAATAAATGGACCTCCTGAAGTTCTACCAAAGTTGGTTCCTCCTTGATACTGTAAAGGAAACACATTAAAGCAAATTTAGTAATAGATTAACTATGAAAGAACGGTTAAGCTGACACTAGATAAACAAAAAAGTTAGAACTTAAATCTAAAAGAAATCCTACAAAAACTCCATTCAGAGGCAGAAAGAACAAAGAATCAGATAAATTACCATATAGTAGTTCTGGAAAGTACCCCCACGCTCGAAAAATCGGGCAACAGCAAATGCAAGGTCTTCAACTGGTCTGTATGGCACTGCACCACCAAAAGAAAGAAACCTGGAAAAGGAAGGTGAGATGTCAAATACAACGGGAACATTAAAAGTTGTATGTACACTGTGTCCTCACAGAATGTCAGCGTCAAAGTCCAAAATCAAGGGAGCTCGGTTACAAGACACCCGGCCTATATTACAATTTAGACACATTTCATCTTCCATGGAGGACCAATATACAATTAATGCGCCCTGAATGCTTAGGATAGGACCGCGATTGTGTGCGTGCATCCACACACGGAAGCATGTTGGTGTGTGAGTATCTGGCAGTAACATGTGTGCAAAAATGCAAATGTATAACTTACCGTGACATCCAATGTCTGAGTTTGAATATTCCTTCATTTCCATCATCCGATCAAAAGAGAGCTAAGATGATGCTTACTATATTTTTTTTTTTGAATATTCCTTCATTTCCATCATCCGATCAAAAGAGAGCTAAGATGATGCTTACTATATTTTTTTTTTCTGTAAGGAACAAATATTTGTAGCTCTGTTGGTTGTATCTGAAATGTATCGCTATCTCCTATTTGTTTTGTTAGAGGAATCTTCTTTTTGTAACCACTCATGACGGGATAACATTAATTTTATCAAAGCTGACAAAAACTTTTCAAGCAAAAAGGCCGAAAGGAGCTATGAAGATTTTCTGGATATACATGCGTTTGTGCATGCTAAAGAAAGAAGTTAAGAGTAGACCTTACCATCCACTCCAGTTCTCTGTCCACATCTTAGGCTTGCTGTTTGAGTTTGGGGTAAACTGGTCACAGTAAAACCCGTTGCAGGTGTTGATCTAACAAGCAGGCATAAGAGATCAGCATCAGCATAATTGTGATCAACTGCAAGCCTTTTCGGCTTAGTACATTAGATGCGTATTGCTATAATAGACAAAGGACTCACGATAGGGTCAGGGGCATCAGGTTGCTGGCACATCACCCATGGAACTCCTGTATCTTGAGAAGTAGCCATCGATGCGGACCAGTTGATATAGGGTTTAGCTCCCGATCCATATTGAGAGTCAACGTTTCCATACTCATTCTCAATCTGCGCGCGGCCATGAAATGTTAATATAAGCTGCTCGTTGAAACGCGAAACATTTCGCAGGAAAGAAGGAACGTCGTGGACATTCAACGAAACGTTGAAACGGTGCGTGTATACCTGAGAAAGGATGATCGGTCCGCCTTGGGATGCATACAGCTTCTCCTGCTTCATCATATCCACAACCCTCGCGGTGAAGCGCTGCATCTCCGTCTGGAATGGAACACGAAAACATTTACATTTTGCAGAGAGGAGCTAGCATAATCCTAAGAAGGATACGATACGAAATCAGCAAGAACAACAACCTTGAAAGGCTCGTTGTTCGTCCTAAATTTGATCCCGGGTATAAAGTGTAGCCAAAGAGGGAAGCCGCTGAAAAAAAAAAAAAAAAAAAAAATCCAATGCACGCCCTAAATTAAGTTGGAAACCCATCTCAAAACATAGAGAATTAAGCGAAAGAAGGAAACTGAACGGAGAGGTATACCCGTAGTTCCATTCGGCGCAAACATAGGGCCCAATACGGAGGTGGGCGTAGAGTCCTGCATCTGCCACCGCCTTTACGAACCTTACCAAATCCTTCCTCCCCTCAAAATCATACTACACGTGTGTAGGCGTGCGTGATCAGAGCGAAGAACATGGACGACGACGACGACGACGACGACAAAATTAATTAAGGACGGTTAAAAATCACCAGAAATCCAATTTCAATTTTAACTCCCAAGCGGGAACACGGCAAAGAAGCAGGATTGACGATGTAACATTGAAGTAGCAGAGGTACAGCCGTCGCGGTTAAAAATAAATAGAACGAATACTATACATACATACATACATACATGTATATCAATTAAATAAATAAATAAATAAATAGCACCTGGTTGCGCGTAGGCTCATGGATGTTCCAGAAGACATAGGTCTCAATGACGTCGATGCCTCCATCCTTGGACTTCTGTATCAGCTCCGGCCACATCTGCAGATTAGAACCGATGGACTCTTTAACTATTAAAATAATTCCGTTCTCCTAATTAAGTTGCAGGCCATTGTTATAGAACGGGGGATTGAAGATTAAATGGGGGTGGCCCGGGGTATAGTTAGATTTTACCTCCGGGGTGCTGCGAGGATAATGGATGGAGCCGGAGATGAGGATTCTGCGCTTCCCATCGATCACCAACGCCCTGTGATCGTAGCTCACGCTCCCATTGTTAGCTGCCGCTGCTAAAGATGTCGCAGCGCACGATAGCAGGAGCAAGAAGAGCAGCGAACCCTCCCTCCTCATCGATCTCTTCTGGGACTCTATCGCCGGCTGCTGTTGAAGATGTTGGATCGATGCAAAAAGGGAGAGGAGGAATGTGGGGGGTTTGATCGATGGATCTTTCTTGTTTCAGTTTGCTTGCTTGCTTGATGCTTCAATTCTCTTGCTTTTTCCTTCTTCCTTTTCTTTTCCTTTTTTTTTGTGTGTGTTTTTTGCTTGTTTTAACTACAAAAATCCTGAAGAGGCGTAAAAGCAAACAGCTAGTTTGCTTCTTCACATCGATCTCATCATGATGCCTGCTTTAATCAATCTCTTCCTCTCAACTGTTTCTCTCCCCCAGCCTCTCTCTTCTTCTTCTTCTTCTTCTTCTTCTTCTTCTTAATATTTATACATCTTGGAGTTGGATGGCCAAGCAAAGCTAAAGACAAAGCAAATGAGGAGGAAAAAGGCTTTAGCTTTGCTAGCAATGTGAACCTTAACGAGACTCGGGCTAATTGTTAATTTATCACGTACTCCCCATAATTATTAATTATTACATCCTTTGATTTTCTTGTTCATTGATTGATTGATCTCCGTCTTTCTTTCGTGTAACTGTTCTGTTCTGGCCTGTTTGGATGGAGGGTAGAAAAAGGAAGGGGGAATGAAAATTGTGGTTTACTTTTATTTGGGAGTTACATTTAGGGGCTGTTCGTTTGGCCATTTTTTTTGGGAAATCAAAGAATAGGAAAACTATTTCCTATAATATTTGTTTTGAGGTTGTTTGGTTGGTTTAAAAAAGAAAGAAATTGTAGAATAGGAGATAAGATGAGATGAGTTGTCAACTTATTATTGGATGATGTGAGTGATTTAAAAAAAAATTGTTTTGAGGTTGTTTGGTTGGTTAAAAAAATAAGGAAATGAATTGGAGGTATATTATTGAATGATGTTTTGAGGTTGTTTGTGTTTGGTTCGTTTTTAAAAATAGGAAAATTGATGAGATGAGATGAGTTGGAGGTATATTATTGGATGATGTGACACGTACTTAAGGAAACCAATTTCTTGTTTTTTTTTGAGGAAATGGATGGAAATGAATGTTTAATGAGATGAGATGAGTTGTCACAATATTATTGGATGATGTGTGTGATTTTTAAAAATGGGATAAGATGAGTTGTGATGAGTTGGATGATGTGACACATTTCTTGTGTTTGGTTTATTTTTAAATGTAAGAAAGGAGATGAAATGAGATGAGTTGGAAGATAAAAATAATATTTTATTAGATGTTGTGGGTGAGTTTTAGGGATGGAAATGGGTAAAAATATTATTTTATTGATTTCCTTGTACCGATTTCCTTTTCTTGATTTTTAGGAAACCAACCAAACGGGCCCTTAGAATGATGGAAGGGGGGACGAGGGGAAAATTGAACTAAAATTTTACCTCTCAAATTAGAGGGTAAAGAAGGGAAAGGGAAGAAAAAAAATTCACTTCACTTAGTCATCTCCCAAACACACCAGGAAAGATATTTGTTTTTTTCCCTCCTCTTTTTGGGGTAATTTAAAATTAAGTAAATATGGAGCGGGTGCGCGTGATGGGGGTGTTAATTGTCCGCCGACTGATTGGATGGATGGGGTTGGGTTGAGTCTGGAGATGTAATGAATGGTGATGATTTTTAATTAGGCTGCTGGACTGGAGTTGGAAAAGTAAGAGGAGTAAAATATGCTTAATTTGTGACGAGGCGGAGACAGATTTGTGGCGCGGTGACGCTGCAGGTCTCAGGCAAATGCGATGCAGTCCTAACCCACAATAGAAACGAGTAAACAAGTAAAAAAAATGCGGGCATCATCATTATTATTATTTACTACATGAATTGGTGATTGTGACCAAACCCCAAAAAGAAAAATAATAATAAAATAAAAACAGTCACCGCCAAACATCGCCATCACTATTTTTTCTAAAGAGCTTTGCTACAGGGACCCAAAATATGGGATCAATAAAAGGGACAAGTGAGGTGTCCCTCTTCTATTGAATAATGAGTTGGTCATCATTAATGATGACCAACTCATTATCCAATAAGAGGAGGACATCTCACTTGTCCTCCCTATTGGTCCCATATTTTGGGTCCTTAAAGAATTTTTCTTTCCTAAAATCCAAACAATAATCCCACACGGGCCGGCAATCGCACCCACCGACGCAACTCCTGCTCCTCTCTCTCTCTCCCCCACCATCACCCCTTAGGAAGGGAAAGCTTGTGGGGACTACTATTGCATAGAAAAGGGAGGGTAATACCGTAATAGTAGTAGTAAATGAGAAAGAGGCCGCAATATTCGTCCACATTGATCGATCGTCTTAAATTTATTATTGTTGTTATCCCATTCATGCGCTATGTTGCTCAACTGTTCCTAATAAAAGAGAGACAAAAACAGAGACAAAAACAGATTTGTCGTTGTCTTTGGTAAATATTAGATGGACATCCAAAGTCTAAGCTGTTTGACTCTTGTGACAAATATTAATCTTTTTTCTCATTTTTCTTCAGAAAAGGGTGTATCCCACTGATTCTCACCTTTAAATTTGCTAGGGCATGATTTATTCTCATCATCCGACATCCGCTGAAAACGATGTTGATTTTTAACTGAGAAGGCCTTTCATTTTTTTTTTTTTTAGAAAAAGGATGGAATACCCCAAAAGTATTACAGCCAGCTAAATTAAAAGGATGGTTGTTATAGAAAACAGTTCATACTCCCAACCAAGCATATGCACTAGAGTTCAAGAGAAATTACTACAAGTAGTAGTACTCCATCTCCTATATACATCTGGAGATAACCACCTGACTGATTTAACAAGTATGACATCAGGAACCAAAACACAAAAAGGTAAATGTTAACAAAGTTTTCTTTCAAACAAAGCATAAGCATATCTTGTCTTACTTCTTTTAGAGGATCAAAATCCTCTTGAGACACAAGAACAATAGCACATTTAGAAGCAAACTTCTGCAATTGATTATTAGTGCAATTATCAAACAAAATAGGCCTAAAAGAAGATCCTAAAGAAGTAGAATCATCACCTGAACTATTGGCAGAAGCTCCATGAGAAGAAAATTCATCGCTCCTAGCAATTATGGAGGTAGCTCTAGTAAGCGCCGTCATAGGTTCCAGATCCACAAATCTGGAGCATCTCCTAACAAAAGTCACTTTTGGAAGTGAGTCCTCGGGAGGCAGAGAGTTCAAAGATTGAATCATGGGGATTTCATCTTCCTTCTCTGCGCTATCTTCATTAACCTCTGGAGTTAGGAAAGAAGGCCAGTTGATTATATCATGATCCTCATTTAAAATAAGAGCTTTGCCTTTGGCTTCATCAGGAATGATTTCACCCATTCCAAAATCCCCTGTATTTTCCTTATCTTTAAAATCACCAAACAAACCATCATTTTTATGTGTAATATTTTCAGAGTTAGTCCCTTGTTCATAAATGTCTTCAGCTTGTTCATAAATGTCTTCAGCTACAGCCACCACCTCTTCCTTCTCTGGAATTTGCTCATCACCAACCAATTGAGTCTTATTAGGCGCCCAAGGTTCCCGTTCATAAATGAGAAGACCTTTCATTTAACAGCTGCTCTTTCCCCGAGGAATATCTTACTCAATATTGATCTGTGCATATATAAATAATTATTCTTTAAAAATGAAGAACACGGATGTGAATAATTAATGAACATGATTTATTTCTAAAATCTTCTCGCTGGTTATTACTTAGTATTAGTTAAACACCAACCCTATGGGAGCAATCATCTAATGTCCACCTATTTGGAGGATTTAACAGCTTGTAAACAACTCATCTGTTCTTCTCCCCCTTAATTAAGGTAGGATCACTATCTTTGAAATTGTAAGGAATACCGAACGCCTTTCATGTGGAAAATGTTGGCATAGGGTTGGGATGCTTGTGGAATTAATGGAATGGTGCGTGGTGCATGATAACGATGATTAATTAATTCGACAATTGACGCGGGCAAAGGCAGCAGTACTACGTACACGCGTGCTCAAAATCAAAATCCATGACAACTTATGTTGAGTGGGGCTAAGAGGAGTGGAGTTTTGAGTGGATCCTTTTTATTGATTGAACAAGGGCTTTTACATTTTTCCTTGCTTCAACCACCCCATTTCCACTATTGTTTGGTTGATTTTCTGGAAGAGGGGAAGTTTTGAGTTTTAATAAATTCACGTGATCATGTCAGATATCCTACTCATTTTTGCCCTAAAAAAAATAGGAAATCAAAGAAATGGAAAATGAAGAATTGTTTTGGAGTGTTTGGTTGGCTAAAAAAAAGGAAATCAAAGAAATGGAGATGAGATGAGATGAGTTGTCACATTATTATTGGATGGTGTGAGTGATTTTTTAAGAAAACTAGTTTTGATGTTGTTCGGTTGGCAAAAAATTTAAGGAAATGAATTATAATAAACCTATTTCCTGTAGTTTTCTTGTTTTCTTTTGTTCGGTTCATTCTTAAAAATAAGAATTGAAATGAGATGAGATGAGTTGTCATTGTATTATTGGTTGATGTGAAGAAAGATTAAGAAATGTGTTTTCACAACTTTTTGAGATGAAATGGAAGAAATGAAATGTTAATGAGATGAGGTGAATTGTTATAATATTTTATTCGATGATGTGAGTGATTTGAAATAATAAAAAGAGATGAGTTGAGTGATGTTTGGATGAAAATAATATTTTATTAGATGTGATGGATGTGTTGTTAGATAAAAATAATATTTTATTATATGTGGTGGATGAGTGGTTAGATGAAAATAATATTTTATTAGATGATGTGGATAAGTTGTTGGATGAAAATAATATTTTATTGGATGTTGTGGGTGAGTTTTAGGGATGGAAATGGAAGAAATGGGTTATTTTGAGATTTCCACTATTTCCATTTCCATTTCTTGCTTTTTTGAAAACAAACGAACAGCCCCTAACTCAGAAATGTGTTTTTCCATTTTTTATATATATATATTTATTTATTAGCTTTAGAGAGGAAGTATCCTCTTTTATGCTGTCAACCAAACAGCATAAGGGCCTGTTCGTTTGCCTAAAAAAAGAGGGAAATCAAAGAAATGGAAAACTATTAAAATGAAGAATTGTTTTTTGAGTGTTTGGTTGGCTAAAAAAGAAGGAAATCAAAGAAATGAAATTGAAATGATGTTAGTTGTCACCTTATTATTGGATGATGTTTGTGATTTTTTAAGAAAACTAGTTTTGGAGTGTTCGGTTGGCGAAAAAAAATAAGGAAATGAATTATAAGAAACCTATTTCCTGTAGTTTCTTGTTTTCTTTTGTTCGGTTCATTCTTAAAAATAAGAAATGAAATGAGATGAGATGAGTTGTCATTGTATTATTGGGTGATGTGAAGAAAGATTAAGAAAAGTGTTTTCATAACTTTTTGGGATGAAAATGAAGAAATGAAATGTTAATGAGATGAGGTGAATTGTTATAATATTTTATTGGATGA